AGTTCTCAAAGTGGGGCAGAGTCTCTATGGGTCCCTTTCCATACACAAGAAGGCAGCACGTATCTCTGCCCTCTCCTCTCCTCCCATTCCTAAAACGGTTGCAGCTTCTGCAGGCCCAAGGGCTGCTCTGAAGGTGCGACAACAGTATCGCACGCCTGCATCATTGTAATTTGATTCCAAAATCTGTACAAGGCTAGTTACAGAATTCCTCATTGGTGCTGAAACAAAGATCAAATCTCAATGTGTACTGATTACACTTTTGAAGAGACTACAGTACTGTTTTAAAACCCCTACCGGCAATCCTTGCAAATAAATAAAACAAACTGGGGGCCTGTGAGGAATTTGCCAGGAACAGGGAAAAATTTGGAAATCTCCCCCCCCCCCCCAACTGTAAGCTCTCTGAGACTTGAACAAGATGATCTCTCTCCCCTGCCCTGCTCCGTTTTGCCTTCAACCGACAGGCAGCTGCTCTCGGCGTTCTGTACCTCCTGGAGCATCCTCAGATCGTTTTCCTTGTTATTTCCCTTCTGGATTTGTGGTTTCAGTCTCCTCTCTGCATCAGTGAGGACCAATGAGATATATTTCCTTTTAAACCAAAAACAAAGTGGCCACTGCAGACTTGAACGGTTTGCTGATCATCTTTCCTTTCAAACTAAAGGAAGCATCATCACATCTTGCTCTCCTGTGTGTGTGTTTATGGGGGGTGTGACTCAAAAAAATATTGTCAGCAATGATTAGTTCTCAAAGTGGGGCAGAGTCTCTATGGGTCCCTTTCCATACACAAGAAGGCAGCACGTATCTCTGCCCTCTCCTCTCCTCCCATTCCTAAAACGGTTGCAGCTTCTGCAGGCCCAAGGGCTGCTCTGAAGGTGCGACAACAGTATCGCACGCCTGCATCATTGTAATTTGATTCCAAAATCTGTACAAGGCTAGTTACAGAATTCCTCATTGGTGCTGAAACAAAGATCAAATCTCAATGTGTACTGATTACACTTTTGAAGAGACTACAGTACTGTTTTAAAACCCCTACCGGCAATCCTTGCAAATAAATAAAACAAACTGGGGGCCTGTGAGGAATTTAGCCTTGTCTCTGGATGGCCCCCTTGGATGGCTTTAATCACCCGCACGGGGGCCAGCCAGTTAGATACAGCAATGCGTTTGCTGTACAAGAGTAAGTCACCTATAGTTCCAGGAACAGGGAAAATGTTGGAAATCCCCCCCCCCAACTGTAAGCTCTCTGATTCTTGAACAAGATGGTCTCTCTCCCCTGCCCTGCTCCATTTTGCCTTCAACTGACAGGCAGCTGCTCTCAGCGTTCTGTACCTCCTGGAGCATCCTCAGTCCTCAACAGGCTTTTTCCTTACTTTGCTTTCACACCCGCTGAATAATGTCCACTCAATCCACTTCCAGAAAATATTGCAACTGGTTTTACTGCATGAAAGGGCAAAATCTACTTGGAACTGATTGCTAAAGTGCACTGATTGCAGGAGCATCATTCAGCTTGTGTGAATAAGTGTCTTCAATCCTTAAAAAGCTGTTTTTCTGTATAACTGAGGAGATTCCCCACCCCACATAGCGAGAGATCCAGTCTTAACCTTGTCTCTGGATGGCCCCACTGGATGGCTTTAATCACCCGCACTGGGGCCAGCCAGTTAGATACAGCAATGCATTTGCTGTACAAGAGTAAGTCACCTATAGGACAAGCTTCTCACCACAGCAAAGCGGTATCCATAACCACATATTAGTTCTTCTGCTTAAGGATGGTTTTTCCATACCTGGCAATTCAGAAACAGGAATATTCCGCCTGTACTGATAAGCCAGCTCACGGAAGCTGCGGAGGCCGCAACAGTAACAGAGCACCGTTTCTCCAGTAATTCGGTAATCTGGAGGGGAAAATCGGGGGTTGCATATTACAAGCAGAAAAGAAACAAGGCGGCAATACCTCCTCGAAGCAAGGCAGTCACAACCATATATACTTGTAGCACCCAAAGGCCCTTCGTTTTCCAACTATTCCCACAATGGGAAACGCCCAGGATCCCAGTATAATGCAAGGAAAGGCGGACCACTTGAAGGACAGAATTTAAACTCGTTTCCAGAACGTCAAAGCAGTTTACAATTTTAACTCATTTCCAGAACGTCAAAGCAGGTTACAATTTAAAACACAATCCCTAAAATGGCAGGTCTAACACTTGCCAGTTTGTTTCATGTATCTGTCTAAAAAATGACCCCGTATTGTCTCTGCATCTTTTTGGCATAGGCTGTGATGACAAATCCATTGTTCAGCTCAGAAAGAATATCAACAATCAAACTTATTCAGGGCTGCTTAGAGAATCACGGTCCAGAAAGCCAAATTAAAAAGAAAAGAAGAGGTTTACCTGACAACACAAAAACTCCTCTTTGAAGAGCTAGGAGACTTTCATTCAACATGTTTTTCCATGTCAAATTCCTGGATGCCAGGTAATCCTAGAACGGGGGAAAGGTGTTGTCAGAAGGATTCCTATGAGGTATCCATACCAAATAAATTATTTTCTTTCTGAAGCAAAATAAATCTGTCTCTCTCCTACTCTCCACACTCTTGGGTGTAAACTAAGAAAAAAGGGAACAGAGATAGGCCAGTTTTATGGCACCAGGGAAGTAGTACCTACGGTACAGAGCTATAGTAAGCATTATAACAGTCATTTTTCAGTGTCTAAGCAGCCTGGATGTGCTCTTCCAGCCTAACCCAGGCTACCACCCCCAGATTCTACACTGCAACTGCAAGAACTAGAAAGTTCTTTTTAATAACTCAAACCAACAGCGTATCACCTGGATGCTAAATTTATGCAGGTCTCCAATTGGCAGAGACCAAGTTGTGTGTTTTCTCTTGACCCCACATCTGGTGTGTTGTTCAGCACCTTTTAATGGCTGCTTCGGCACTTGGATAAAGAGGAAAAACAGGCTTTTTTCCTCCTTGAGGCTATCCCAACCAATTAGATGTAGCAACATGGTAATGTCATGGAGCCAATTCAGAACGAGGACAACACTTCCTGTCCTCACTCTGAGTGGGAGAACATTTTTGCCTTCTTCTGTCGTGCCACCCCACAGAACAATTCACTGAAATGGAAAGCGATTCATTTTAAGAAGCCCATTTTATGGGATTTTTAAAAAAATGAAATGGCTCCCTTACTTCAGAAAATACTAGCACTGATCTGATGAGATATTAGAAACTGAAAATAAAATATACCTTTAAAATATCTGATTCATAATGATTGTTGTTAAGGACACCATCGAGACACTTGTCACCAAGATTTATTTCTATTAAAAAAACATAGGGGAAAATTACTTTTGCTTCAACATATCTGAATGCTATTTCTTAGATTCAGGACAGACAAGGAACTACTTTTTCACAGAGCACATAGTTAAATTGTGGAACTCGCTGCCACAGGATGTGGTCATGGCCGCCAACTTGGAAGGCTTTAAAATGGGAGTGGAAAAATTCATGGAGGAGAGGGCTATCAGTGTCTACCAGCCATGATGGATATCTACTCTCCCCGGTACTAGAGGCAGCATCCCTCTTTATACCAGCTGGCTGGGGAGCACAGGCAGGATGATGCTGTTGCAGACTTCCTCTTTGTGGGCTTCCTAGAGGCAGCTGGTTGGCCCCTGTGTGAACATAATACTGGACCAGATGGGCCTTGGGTCTGATCCTGCACGGCTCTGCTTATGTTCTCTTGCAACTAAGACAGGCCTCAAAGCCCTGACCTGGATGGGCCAGGCAAGCCCGATCTTGTCAGATCTCAGAAGCTAAGTGGGGCTGACTCTGTCAAGTACTTGGAAGGGCGACCTCCAAGGAATACCAGGGCTGGGACACAGAGGCAGGTTTATCAAGCCACCTCTCTGAAACGCCCTAGCCCTACTAGGGGTTGCCAGAAGTCACCATGACTTCCAGGCTCGCAAGCGCACGCATGCACACACACAAATACTCACAAAAATAGTTTTTAAAAAAGACAGGCCTCAAATGACTAGTCTACAATCTTGAACATGCAGAACCCGAAGAGGGTTTCAAATAAGGGCTACAGTCTGATCTGGGATTCTGGGCTGGAGTATTCCAAGGTCAATTTTAGTTGCGTGGGAATACTTAAATTGCATTTCTCAAAGTCACTGAACAAGCTTAGCTAAGACGTTAACATGAGACGTTAAACCTGAGTGCACCAAGCAGAATGGATTTTGGAGGCCAAGCCCTTCAAGGGCTTTCATGTCATAAGTGATTTCAGGTGTGCGAAACCAGTCTCGAAAGGCTCTGTGTAAAGACAATGACCCTGCCACCCTACCACAGAATGGTGCCAAGCAGCCGAAACACGCCACTCGAGTGCAGCCCCAGTACAAGTGACAAAAGGGTTGTAGACAGACGGTACCTGCAAACACATAATGAAGATAAGATTGTGGCATAAGTTATTTTGCGTACTGAGTGGTCTAACCCCATAAGTTTGTAAGCCATTTAGTTATTAGAAAGGACCCCAAAGCCATCCATTAAAAAGAAATCTAATAGGCAACCCTGGGAACACCCAACATAGTTCAGGAGTCGCTAACCTCTTTGAGCCTGTGGTAACCTTTGGAATTCTGACAAAGGGCGGTGGGCGCCAGCTCCAGGTTGGGAGATTTGGGGAGATTTTGTGGTGGAGTCTGAGGAGGCCACGGCTTACAGAGCAGAGAGGCCTCAGCTGGATAGAATGCCATAGAGTCCACTCTCCAGAGCAGCTATTTTCTTCAGGCGAACAGAGCTCTGTCATCTGGGAGTTCAGTTTTAATTCTAGGAGGTCTCCAGGTTCTACCTGGAGGCTGGCAACCCTAGGTCTGGAAGCAACCTCTGGGTGACCTTATACCACCTGACTTGCATGACTGCTTGCTACTGTTCAACATCAGCCACCTTATGAAAGCCAGTGTGGTGTAGCGGCTGGAGCTCCAGAGTAGGGTCTGGGAGACCCAAGTTTGAATCCCCATCTTGCTCTGGAAGCTCCCTGGGTGGTTTTGGGCCAGTTACATACTTTCAGCCTAACCTATCTCACAGGGTTGTTGTGAGGAGGAAAAAAGAGGAGAGGAGAATGACGTAAGCTGCTTTAGTCCCCACTGTGGAAAAACCTGAGATATTAATGAATTAAATAAATAATAAATATAGCTGAAGACAGGAAGCAGATAAAAGGTAGGTTGATGAATGGCTGAAAAGGAGAGAAGGAGGCAGGGAAAGGGAAGAGGACACGGGGACTGACAGGAGGATGGAAATAGGAAATAGTGTTGGGAAAGGGATACCGGGGGGAAGTAAGTTTGCACTCCACAAATCCTTGAGAGTTCCCTACCATGCAAGTGGGCCGGGCCGAGTGGCCAGCACCACACAACCGAACCATAGTTTTCCAAAGCATAGGCTGCTGGGGGGTGGAATCTGAAGACAAAGGGGCAGATAAATGTAGACTGGCTGTTGGGTGGGAAGGAGAGAATGAATCAGGAAAAGGGTAGAGGCTACAGAGGCTTTCAGGAAAGGGAATGAGGAAACACTGGGGGAGGAGGAAATGAGATGCCTCTCGCAAGTCCTTGCGGGTTCCCACTTGTACGAATCTAATAGTAACTCTTCAACATTTCAGGCAGAGGCTCTGTTCAACAGGATGCCATTTAAATCTGCACGTAGCTAATCAAAAGCCCTGATGGGAAAAGATCACACCTAGCCCCAAAGCACTTCCTAAAAGCACTTGGGTGCCAGGAGGGGTATTGGTGGGCAACATGTTGGTGAACCCTTACACAGTGGGTTCCTGATCCCTGTGCCTCACATAGCATATCCCCAAACACTGCTGGTTCACAGGAAACTGGAAACAGACTAGACAGGTGGCACCACTCTAAATGTGAGATTGCCTATCCTCCACTCACCTGAGCTTGCCTGTGATTGGCTGCCAGGACTCTCCATGGGACCATGTTAGAAGAGACTGGTGGGCATGTGGGACAGGGCCTTCTCTGTGGTGAGCACCCAAAAACACAACGGAGATCTATCTCCTCCCTCCCCACTTTTTGGCATTCCATAGCTTTGTAAATGCTCTTGTATCATACAGTCCCATTAGGTGTAGTGGTTGTTTGATTTGGCTACTGCTGATTTTACTGCTGGTGGCTCCTGTTATTGCCATTTGTTATTGTTATTACTGGTTCAATAGCTTTATGGCTATTTTAGATCTGTTTTTGTTATTAATTGCGGCTACACTGTGGCTAGCTGCTGCTGCGTGTAGATTTTAGTCCTCTGTCCTGTAGTTTGGGGGCTATTTTTGTAGAGAAGTGAGACAGAAATAATACGTCTCTTTGGGGTCAGCCAAGCAGGAGGGTATTTGGATTCTCCTGCGAAGGAGAGACATCATCAAAAGAGAGCTGGAAGACAAGAAAACAGAGAAGACTGATTCCTTCCAGTTGTTCAGGTGATAATTATGCAGCAGCCTCCAACTCCTCAGTAGGAAGACAGGCCTAAACTACGTTCCTTCCTCCATCCGTAAAGGGACATGAAAAGCAAAACATTTCTTTACCACTGTTGTTCCCAGAACTGCACCCTACATCTCCCCTCAAAACAACTTCATTCACAGGGAAAGGGTTAATAGAACTCCTAAAAAGAATTGCATACAACACTTGGGACAAAATGGAACCACATGGCGGCATCCATTTAAATCTACATTGTTTGCTCCAGCACAAAGGCTCAGGGTAGGTAAAGATGTTCAAGGTCCTTTTAAAAACAATTACCCTATTAAAACCAAAATGAAATTCAATCAAGATGGGTCAGCGCCTTCCAAATATCTCCTGGTTTAGTACAGACCTCTAGAAGAACCCAACTCCAAGAGAGGAGTCTTAACAGTTCAAATCTGAGTGTATCTTCCAAGAGAAAGACTTTTGGAACTGTCCTGGGAACTCATTCCCTCATATGGGAGCTCTAGAATGACCTTGGGATAGGTATGATCAGAGGCTTCTTGATGCAATGGCATCTAGGTCATAGTGCACCATATGGAAGGCCACGGATCTTGTAGCCACTTCTGAGAGTCCATTTTGTTCATGCAAAAACCTGGTCCCAATAACTCCGATGGCCTTAAAAAGAAGATAGCCCAGCCAATTTTCTTTTTTAAAAAGTGTGCTTAGTTTTTAAACACACGTTAATAGCCTAATTATTGCTGAGGATCAAGCTAGACAAGAGGTTGAGAAATCAGTGAATGGACAGTGGTTTCTGAGAAGTAAATTCCAGCTGCAAGAGAGGCTAATTTGGATCATGGCCACAAGGTGTGTAAGTTGGGGGGGAGGGTATAAGGTGTGTAAGTTGGGGAGGGAGGGTATAAGGTGTGTAAGTTGGGGGGGGGATTTTCTACCTCAATGAGAAGTAAGCTTTTGTTACATGGGATGAAAGCAATGGAGAGAGAGAGGGAGAGAGAGGATTGACAGAAACCTGTATCAAAGCTGTGTAGTGATGTGCTAGCTTACATTGCTGAGGGGCGATATGTGGATTCTGCTCGCGCTCCGCTCTGCGGTCCGGCATTGGCTGGAAACAGCATGTACAGATCACGTGACTTCCTTGAGAAGGACACACGTACTCCTGGACAGCTTGATTGCAAGGAGAGTAACGGAAAAGAAGGCAAATGAATAAGGAGAAAAACAAAAAGGTGTGGCATGACAAGAGACGGGCAGGGAGCAGAGAACCCGTCTTGTCCTTGGTTCTCCCCAAACCATTTCAGAGGAGCCTTCTGCAATCTGTCTACAAAGGGAACGATTTCCATTTGCTGCAGAACCCAGGCAACTATCTGATCATTCTGAAATGCATTTCAAGGGCTTTTATATGGTTGCACTCCAGTTATGCAATACATTTACCTGGTACCATCTTTGTTACCTTTTGGACAAAAGGCAAGATCTTTTCCAACCTCCTGAGCTCATGGCACCTAGTTCAATTCCTCTTGTTCGGTAATTATGTCGTTTATTTTCTTGACGTTACTGCTTATGCTGCTACTTCAACTGACCTATTCCTAGTGTGTTAAATTAGGCACCACGTAAGGTTAGCAGGGATGGATCCACACTCCATTAACAATTTCCACCAGTTCCCTTTTCCTATTGCAGGCCCCCTTCGTGTCATTGCTCAGAGTCTCCCACCCTGCCCCAGGAGCAGCCTTTTGTAGAGACCAGTAGGCTGCAAGGGGAAAGTTCAACTCCACTGGTAGAAAATTTAGTCTGGATCCAGCCCATAACCAGGTCTGTTCAGTGTCTGGATGGAAGAACCTATTGCAAAGCCACCCTGAGTTCTGTGACAGAGGAAAGGCAGGACATGAAACAGAATTTAAAAAATGAAACACGTTGGTAAAAAAAAAAGCAGTACCGGTAGAACAACAGAGACAGGAACCGCTTTCATTGTTAATTTTCTCTTTCGATGTGGGTCAATTTTATAAGCTTTCTTGAAGACCAGTTTGGAAATCATTTGTTAATTAAGTTTTGTGTTAACGCAAGGGGCCGGTAAGTCCTGTTGAACTGCACCCATCAACACCAGGCCCTAAAACAGAAGTCAACGTTCACCTGCAACTGACCCTTGCAGGGAAAGACTGGAAGAGGGAGGCTTCCTCCAGAAGGCCTTTGGGGCTGGTAGTTGTGCCTTTCAGGGATAATTTCCCGCTGTTGCTGACAATCTCCTGTGAGTCACTGCTCACTTCTTCATCTCACTTGACTCACGGAAGCTCCTACCTTGCCATAAATTTTGTTAAGTCTTTAAGGTGCTACCGGACTCTTGCCTCTTTTCGACTGCTACAAACAGACTGAAACGGCTACCCATCCTGATGATCTTATAACGGAACACTAGATAAGCTAAACAGGGTCACAGAGTTCCCGGAAGGCAGGTCGAAAACAGATGCTCAGATCAGGACCACAAGTGCTGCAAGATCAATGTAATACCGCAATCGGGAACTCTGTTTACAAAGTACATCTGAATGCTGCACTCTGACACGGCTACCCATCCTGATGATCTTATAGGGAACACTAAATAAGCTAAACAGGGTCATAGAGTTCCCGGAAGGCAGGTCAAAAACAGATGCTCAGATCAGGACCACAAGTGCTACAAGATCAATGTAATACCGCAATCGGAAACTCTTACAAAGTACATCTGAATGCTGCACTCTTCTTCTGTGGAGATGAACTCAAGCAGCAGGCCCTGGGTAAAACCGAGCCTTGTCTATCGTGGGTGTTGTGTGTAAAATGCCATCAAGTCTCAGCTGACTTACAGCAACTCCATATGGTCTTCAAGGCAAGATACATTCAGAGGTGGTTCTGCTATTGCCTGCCTCTGCATAGTGACCCTGGAATTCCTTGGTGGTCTCCCTTTCAAATGCTAGTCAGAGCTGGCTCGGCTTGTTTCCGAGATCTGACAAGATCAGGCTAGCCTGGGTCATCCAGGTCAGGGCTTGGTCATGGTGTTCATCTTTGATAATCGAAGCTTTCTGCCACCCATCACAAACTAATCACCATGGCCAACACCTGTTGGAATTTACTAGGCTATCCAAATCCACTACTAGGCTTACCAAATTCCGGCGGGGGAATGCCGTCCCCGCGGCGAGGCTCCTGCCAGGAAATACAATTCCCCCGCCGGAATTTGGTAAGCCTATCCACGACTGCTGTGATCCCATACCACTGAAATCCTAACCACAGTTGGGTACGGAAGATCCTGCTTTGGAGAGATTAACTCAAGGGCAATTTCAAGGCCTGCAAGCCCTTATCTAGACAGTTTCAGGTGAGTAGCCATGTTAGTCTTGTAGTAGCAAACCAAAATTCAAGTCCAGTAGTACCTTAGAGACCAATTTTCCCTCCAGGGGTATACACTTTCAGTGAATCGAAGCTTACTTCATCAGATAAGCCTTTGGTATCTGACAAAGTGGGGTTAGAAAACTCACAAAAGCTTACATCCTGGAAAATTTGGTGCTCCTGGACTCAGACGTTATCTCTCTTTTTGGCGAGTATTTTGTGTGTGTATGCCTGGAAGTCATGGTTAACTTCTGGCGACCCCTAGTGGGGCTTGGATGTTTCAGAGAGGTGGCTTAATATTGCCTGCCTCTGTGTCCCAACCCTGGTATTCCTTGGAGGTCTCCCTTCCAAATACTTGCCAGGGTCGGCCCTGCTTAGCTTCCGAGATCTGGCGAGATGGGGCTTGCCTGGGCTATCCAGGTCAGGGCAGACTTTGTTTTATCTTGACAGCGAAAGTTCCCTTTCTTTCACCCCAGCCAGTGCAGATACCTGGCAAAACTGGCTGGGTGTTACCAAAACAGCAAAAATCTTGGCAGGATGAAAGTCAGTGGTGTCAATTACAGCCCTTGGCCCTATTGCTTGTCACACTGACCTGTTGGAAAGTTGGCAGAGGTAGACGGTGCATCCCCCAATGACGGCACTGCCTCCAGTTCTCCTTCCTGACCCGAGGACAGAAGGGGCTGAGCAGGAGGCCGGCGAGATCCCGGACACTGTCTGCATGTGATATAGGGCTGGCTGAAAAAGAGGGACGTAGTTAGGTTGTTGGAACCAATTCAGGAAAACCGAACGGAATTCAATCAGACATGAGTCCATTGCCCAGCATAATGCAAGAGCCCTGCTGGTCCAGACTACCACCACTTCCTGTGGCAGTGAATTCCATGTGTTCATTACTCTTTGGGTGAAGAAGTACTTCCTTTAATATTTTATTTCCTCATCAATTTCACTGAGTGCCCATGAGTTCTTGTATTGTGAGAAAGGGAGAAAAAGTACTTCTTTCTCTATCTTCTCCATCCCATGCATAATTCTGTAAACCTCTATCGCGTCACCCCTCAGTCGTCGTTTCTCCAAGCTAAAGAGCCCTAACCTCTTTAGCCTTTCTTCATTGCGAAAGTGTTTCGGCCTCTTAATCGTTTTAGTTTCCCTTTTCTGCACCTTTTCCAATGCTATGATATCTTTCGGGTGCGGTGACCAGAAATGAACACAGTATTCCAAATGAGGCCATACCACAGATTTATAAAGGGGCATTATGATACTGGCTGATTCGTTTTCAGTTCGCAAGTCAAAGCTGTATGATGGAGGGAGCTTCGGCTCTTGAAAGCTCATACCCCGAAAATCTTAAGAACATAAGAGAAGCCAATGTTGGATCAGGCCAATGGCCCATCCAGTCCAACACTCTGTGTCACACAGTGGCCAGAAATACCAGGTGCCATCAGGAGGTCCACCAGTGGGGCCAGGACACTAGAAGCCCTCCCACTGTTGCCCCCCCCAAGCACCAAAAAAACCCAGTGTATCACTTGCCCCAGAGTTCCTATCTATACCTTGCGTCTAATAGCCACTGATGGATCTCTGCTCCATATCTCTGCTCCATCTTGTTGGTCTCTAAAGCACTACTAGACATGAATCCAGCTGTTCCTTTTGTGACCCTTACAGTAGCTGGTATTCAGATATACTTCCTCTGAACATGGAGATTTCCTCCAATTTCTCGGCTGCGCAGGGGTTTCTTTGAATCTGGATCCCTCGGGGTCTGCCACGCTCCCTTGAGATGCACTGCCTGTCATCCAGACAGACCGTATCTTTTCCAAATGGGTATAATTTGGACTGAGATCTCCTAAACGAATACAGATTTCAGAATGCAAAATCCACGCCGGTAAAACACCCTCACCTAATATCTGAGGATTCACTATCGACATCCGAGAGTTCCAAGAGATCTTCAGAACTTCCTTCTTCGTCTGAAAAGGACCTCCTCACTTTTGGCTGGAGCATGTCTTGAGTGATTTTGTTCCGGGCATCCATGCTCCGCACATCCTCTTCGTTGCGGCACTTATCTAGGAATACAAGAAACGGTATCAACAACACAGACATATTTCCAGCCCACCTTCCTTTGAATCAGCTCAGGGGAGGCATACATGTTCCTCTTTTCACTTACACGAAGCCAGACCACTGGTCCACCTAGCTCAGTATTGGCTGGCAGTGGATCTGGGTCCCAAATGGAGAAAGGCTTGCTATCCAAGCTCCTTGCACTGGAGATGGCAGGGATCGAACCTAGGATTCTGTGCATGCAGAATAAGTCCTCCGCTACAGAGACACTGCTCTTCTTCTAAAGATACATGCAGTCCATTTAACTGGATCTGAATAGGCAGGGTATGAGGCAGTTTGAGAGAGCCAATTTGGTGTAGTGATTAAGTGTGTGGACTCTAATCTGGGAGAACCGGGTTTGATTCCCCACTCTTCCACTTGCAGCTGCTGGTGTGACCTTGGGTCAGTCACAAGTTCTTCCAGAACACTTCTCTCACAAGCAGTTCTGGAAAGAACTCTCTCAGCCCCACCTACCTCACAGGGTGTCTGTTGTGGGGAGGGGGAGGGAAAGGAAATTGTAAGCCGCTCCGAGACTCCAAGTGAAGGACGGGGTATAAATCCAATCTCTTCTTCTTCATTTGGGAAGTTGGTGGGTCTTTTACTGAGGCCCCCCAGCAGCCTAACTCCAGTACCTTGTTTATCTACTTGCTTCATGTATGCCCTGCCTTTCCATTTCTACCCTGCCTTTCTCCTCAGAGGGGACACAAAGGGGCTTACAATCATTCTCCTCTCCTCCACTTTATCCTCACAACAGCCTTGTTTAGGAAAAGTTAGGCTGAGAGCGTGTGACCGGCCCGAGATCACCCAGCAAGCTTCCATGGCAGAATGGGGATTTGAACCTGGGTCACCTAGACCCTAGTCTGATACTCCAACCATCACACCATATCCTGGCTCAAAGAACATGAAGAGAAGGAGATTTTGGACTGCACGGGTTGCTGTTCAGAATTCTACCACGCTTGTTTCATGTGTAGTCTAACTTCAGCGATAATCCAGCGAGATCTCTGTGACTATGCCGTCAAGTATATTTAGGGGTGTGCAAAAAAAAAAATCGGTCGGATTCGGATTCTGCCGAATCTGGCAGAGAATCAATTTCGGCTGGCAGAAAGACTCCTGCATGTCAATTTCGTCAGTACAAGTTCCTGGGCAAACTTAAGCCTGATTCCTGTTCACCAGGAGGCATTTTGGCACTGCTGCAAAAATGGATATAAGAGCAAAAGCAGCAGTGATGCTGGATTCTTAAAACCTCAGTCTGGGAACACCGGAAGTCGTGTGGAATCATGTTTATTGCATGCAATGTGCACCCCCAGCATGGGAAAATATGCATAGGTACATACAGGGCTACAATGGATTTATATATATTATTTCTAAATGAATAGATCTTATTAGCATTCTCAATCTTCACTTGCTCACTGCAACATCAGAGATGCAAAAAGGCCCCAAAGAGGATTTTTATATATGTGTTTCAGAGCCGATAACCAGAGCTCAATTTCCTTTTTTTTAAAAAAAAAAAAGCACACTGGATATGAAGTCTACTTCAAAAGTAACTTTACGCCACTGTATTCCCAAATGCATGTAAGCTTGCTGTGATTACTCACTGCAATCAAAATCACTCGGCACCTGTTCAAAGGTACACTATTACTTGGGACATTCCAAGCCACAGCCCTGGCACTAAAATTCTTCCCAGGGTTCCACTCAGGCCTGTAGCGACAGTGGGGCATTTTGGGGCCCTGCTCCCCCCCAATTAAAAGCCCTTCCCCACAAGTAGCCATGCCAGAAACCTTATTTTTGAGGAAAGACCCCCTTGCTGCCTGCCACCACGGTGAGAGCAAGTGCAGCTTGCCTTCGGGCTTCCCTCTCCCTCCCGCTGTGGAATTTGGGGGGGGGGATCATGGGACCTGGGAAAAGACAGCTCAGAGGGCATTTAATTGCCTTCAGAAGGCATTTAAATGCTTTTTGAGTTCCCTTCCACAGGGCAAGAGAGCTTACAAAGGTATTCAAGAGGGGTACCTTCGATACATCTCTAATAATCCCCTTTTCTGCTAGCCCACTCACCAGATGGGTGAAATGCCGAAGGTACCACTCGAGTGCCCTTCTAAGCTTTCTTGCCCGGTGGAAGGGAACTCAGAAGGCAATCTAAAGGCAATTAAATGCCCACTGAGCTGTTTTTCCCCCCTAGGAACTGATGCATTCGCTGCCCTGTCCCTTGAAAGGAAGGGCTAGAAACAAGCTTGGAGCCTCCCCCTTTAAAGACAGGCGTTCAGATTCATTTAATGAACTGTAAGTTAACTGCCCCCTTGAAAATGTAAATGCCCCCCGAACCAAAAAATAATAATCCTGGCTATGGGCCTGCAATGCACTTGTGTTCTGATTAAGCCCTCCTGTTGCCACCTGGAGTCCCGTTGACTTCAATGTAACTTAGCACAATTCACTTCCTGGATTGTTCAATGCGTGTGCTAATTAAAAAAAAGTAAAGGTTCCCTTGCTCGAAAGCTAGTCGAATCCGACTCTAGGGCTGCGGTGCTCATCTCCATTTCAAAGCAGAAGAGCCAGCGTGTCCGAAGATGTTTCAGTGGTCATGTAGCCGGCATGACTAAACACCAAGGCGCACGGAACGCTGTGCTAATTACCACCCCCCAAACAGCTTGTTTCCCACTTGCCTGGATGCTGGATGAGATACGCTTCCACCAAGTTGTTCAGAATATGGTTTTTACAAATGCGCTCCACCGGACAGCGGCACGTCGGACAGAGAGAGGAGCGTTCCATCCACCCTGAGTAGCAAGCGGCACAGAAGGTGTGCATGCAAGGTTGCAAACTGGAGAGAAAGCGTGGGGAAACAAGCAACACATGAACACATGAAGCTGCCTTACAGTGCGTCAGACCCTTCGTCCATCAAAGTCAGTTTGTCTACTCAGATGAGAAGCAGCCCTCCAGGATCTCAGGCAGAGATCTTCCACATTCCCTGCTCCCTGATCCTTTTAACTGGAGATGCCAGGGACTGATCCTGGGACTTCCTGCATTCCAAGCGGATGCTCTACCACTGAGCCACAGTCTCTCCACAAGAACAGCAACACCTCATTGAGAGATGTGGCAAAGGCCACATTCAAACCTCTGTCTGTGACAGGCACCAAAATGGCACCCATCGCCCACTTCCCTCCCTCCTTCCCTCACACTTGGAGCGCAGTGGAAAGCTTCCTGGTTTGGGAGGCCTTCAAACAAACTCCAGTTGGCTGCAACATCTGAATGCAAGTTCCTGGGCAAACGTAAGCCTGATTCCTGTTCACCAGGAGGCAAATTGGGAATGAAACAGGCTGAAGATTACTTTCGAAGCCTTCTTCTCAAGGGTGGGGCAAGATGACAGCAGTTGGAAAAGGAAACAGTGGAGAAAATCCAGGATTTGAGCATAACTGTGATCTCTCTCTTTCCAACTGGAACAAAAAACAGGGCTCAAGCTCTGGTTTTACAGTATTTTGCATTGGGGGGAAACCTGAATATTTTGAGTCTGTGATCATTTAAAAAGTGCACCACAAAACCCAAATACAGACCAAAATTATTGCTGTCATTATTGCGGGTTGCAAGAGAGGTAAGAGCATGGGGTGGGGGTGGGATATGGGGAAAAATGGCTTATGACAGCCCTGCAATGGAGTCTTATTACTCCCATGTTTGGGGGGGGCATATGTGTGTGGAGCTGAGAGAGAGGCTGATGATAAACCTGTAAAGAACTCCACTGTTAATACCGAGGGGGAGGCCGAGATCTATAAACGAGGCTGCAACAAGTTCCATTCCAATTAAAACTGCCCCCCCCCTAATTTGCATGGGAAACTCCAGCTTGTTTTTCTTGCTATAGCCTTTCTGAGCCCGTGACCTAAAGAGGTTATTTATTAATTACATTTATTCCACCTTTCCTCCAAGGAGGAGCATCATATTAAAGTTCTCTCTTCCCACTTTTTTTTTTTTTTTTTTCTGTCGAGTCAGTTGACTTATGGCGACCTCGTGGGGTTTTCAAAGCAAGAGATGTCCA